GCTTGAACCACAGTTGCCATGTTGGAGTGCAACTTCTTAATCACTACAGCACTTGCTGGGCCCTGGAATCTAGCTTTTAAGATAAGCATATTATATAGATCTGAAGTAGTACTCAGCCTAGGGATAATAGTAATAATACTTTTTTTTTTTTTTTTTTTTTAAGAAGTACTTTTGGTCTGGCAGGTGGCATGGTGGTTAAGGGCACTGGACTCCCACATGGTCGACCACTGTTTGAGTCCCAGACCTGGTGGTTTGCTTTCTCACTTTCTCTCCCTATCTCTCTCTCTCTCTGTCCCTCTGGTCAAATTGAAAATAAATAAATAAAGTTATTTCTAGTTTTTTTTAAAGAATTATTTTATTTATCTTTATCTGTTTATTTACTTATTTTAAAAAATTTGACCAAAGAGAGACAGAGTGAGAAAGAAAGAGAGAAAGTGAGAAAGAATTTGCCAGGTCCAGGACTCATACCATGGTTGACCATTTGGGAGTTCAGCACTCTTAACTACCACACCTACCTGCCAGCCTCCAAAAGAATTCCTTTAAAAAAAAAGAAAAAGAATTATTTTATTTAACTTTATTTTAAATTTGACCTGGTGGGGGGGGAAGAGAGAGAGAGAGAGAGAGAGAGAGAGAGAGAGGAAGAAAGCGAGCAAGCAAGCCACCAGGTTGGGGACTTGAACCATGGTTGGTCATGTGGAAATCCAGTGCCCTTAACCACCATGCCACCTGCTGGCCCCAGCCTAAGGATAATTACTCCCCCTGTCTGATGTAGTATCCTTGGTATAGTCACAGGCAGTGAACGTGAGCTGGTAGGAATTGACTCTTGCTCTCTGTAAGTGTAGAGTGGTACAAGTCCTTCTGGGTATTCTCTGACTCCCACCAAGCCTTATTTTTACTTTTATTGAATGCATATGTTGATTGATACTTAGCTGAAGATGTGAGGGGTCCTATGCATTTTTCTGTTTGTGTAACAGTTGCCTCTTTGGTACTTTTTACTATGAACTCTAGTCATTTTTGTCTCTTCCACTTAGGGTGTCAGCTGGTCCCTGCCAGGATTCTGCTCCCTGGTATTGCAGCCTAGAAGTAGGAAGTCATTATTGGATTGTCTCCAAGCTTTGTAATTAGCATGGTAGTATATTGCTTAATGAAGGGATATATTTCAAGAAATGCATTGTTAAGCAGTTTTGTCATTGTGCGAGCATCAGAGAATGCACTTATACCAACCTCACAGTCTTATGGAGCCACTGTTTTAGATGTGGTATGTTGCCAACCAGAATGTCATATGGCACATCATTGGTTTTTCTCTTGCTGCTTTCAATATTTGCTCTGATCTGGCTTTTAGTAGTGTAACTATGATGTGGCTCACTGTGACTTCATGTTTATTCCGATAGGTGTTTTGTCATTTTGTATCTGTAAATTTATCTTTTATCAATCTTTTCGTCTTGCCTTTACTTTTGATAATTTTTTTGGGGGGGGAGGGAGAGATTTTTGCTTTAGGGCGCGTGTGCTTGCTGGAGGGACAGAGACAAAGTGAGAAATCACCCCCCAGGGGAGATGGCCATGCTGCAGTCTCTTCCTCTCCATTATCCTCTCGGGATTTTGGGCACACATGCGAAAAAGAGAAAGAGGGAGAGTGAGAAAGCAAGCCGCCAGTGTTGGGACTTGAACTTCAGTCAGCCATGTAGGAGTCTTAGCACCTCAGTCAGCTCACCACCTGCTGGCCCAAGTATGCTTTATTTTATGTCACCCAAATTAAACACAACTTCAAAATCTAGTTTATCTTACTGTTAGGCTGACTTGATTTTCTTTTCTCTTGAGAGTGTTTTCTTTTTCTTTTTTTTTTTTTGGTTCAACTTATTGGATACTTTTGGATTGTATTCTGGATATTATTTTTGTCAGTTTGTGGAGACTGAATTCTATTATTGTTTCATGTATTACTCAACTTTGATGTTAGAAAAATTTTTTGGCTATAACATAAAAATAATAGTAATAATAATAAATAAAATAAATAATTAAAAAAATAAGCCATACATGAAAGGGCACATGTTGTATGACTCGATTTAGACGAAACATGCAAAACAGTTTAAATCCATTCAGTGGGATAAAATTATATCAAATAAATAGTAATAGTAATCTGGTTTTATTACATTAATATTAGACAAATAGAACATTAGTCAGAAAGCATTATCAGTAAGGAATAACTGGGGACAACAGGTGGCAGCGTGAAGGTTAAGGTGGCTGGATCCCACATGGCTGACTGAACAGTTTGAGTCCTAGACTCAGCAGCTTAAAAATCATGCTGGGTGCATGTGTGTGCATGCCCCAAATCCCAAGAGAATGGAGGAGAAAGGATTGTGGCATGGCCATCCCCCTAGGGGTGATTTCTCACTCCCTCTCTGCCTTTTTTTTTTCTCCATGGATGAACATGCCTTATGACAAATTAAACAAAGAAAGAGAGGAAGGAAGGAAGGAGGGAGGGAGGAAAGAAGGAAGGGAGGGAGGAATAGAAGGAAGGAAGGAAGGAGAAACAAAAAGAAAAGAATAATAAAATATCTCATCTACAAATGTACACTGGGAATCTAGCATTTTGGTTCCATTTATAGATTTTGGAAACAAAGCCAGAACAGTGTGTTTTGGAGAGAAAAAATTTCTTTAACACGTTGAACATATTGGAGAAGCTATTTCAAGTAGATGTTAACTGTGAGAGTAAAAGAATAGAAATGGGAACAGTTGGGAAACACTAGGAAGAACATTGTTACTAGAAACTATGGTTTCTGTTATAATTAGACATGGAACATTTTTATTCAGAAATGTTTAAGTTAGAGTTTAAAAAATACTCTAAAATGTGCACAAAATAATTTTGAGTTGAACTTAAAATGGTAGCCATTTTAAAGAAATTGTCTCAAAGTGTTAGTGTATCGCAGATGTAATCAGATAAAACCTCGAAGTATCATATACATACCTAGACAGGAAAAACCCCACAAGACTACTATCTGTTAAAAACAGACTATTTTTTTTCTTTTTTAAAAACAATTTTATTAAATATAATTCAAAGCTGTGCAGTCCACTCATTTAAACTCTGTAGTTCAGTGGCTTACAGTATATTTACAGAGTTGTACAATCATCACAATTAATTTAGAGCATTTCATCACCTCAAAACTTTGCACCCTTTAATCATCGCTCCTAGCCACCATCTTTCCTCTCAGTTCCTAGGCAACCAGTACTATTTTCTGTTATACAGATTTGCCTATTGTGGATATTTTTATATATTAATACATGGACCCATATGCTTTGTGGCCTTTATTGTCGGCTTCTTTCAACTAACAGTGTATGTATATTGCGTTATCTATCAGAACTTCATTTGTTTTTATTAAGGAATAATAGTTCATCATATGGCTATACCACATTTAATTTAATTCATTCATTAATTAGTGGACATTTGGGTTGCTTTCACTTTTTGATTGTTAGGAATACTGCTGCTCTGAACATTCCATGTGTAAGATTTTTGTGGACATTGTTGGATCATATAGTAACTATATCTACTATTGGGCTGTTGGAAAAGTCATGAGATATTTTCCTGTTTATCTATGTAAAAAAATGTGTCATGACTTTACAACAACCCAGTAGTTGGAGGAACTGCCAGAGTCTTCTCAAAAGAGGTACACCATTTTATGTTCCCACCTCACTAACCCTTGTTATGACCTGTCCAATTATAATCTTCCCAGTGGGTTTAAAGTAGCATTTCATTTGGGTTGACTTGCATATGCCTAATGACTAATAATGTATCCTTTGTATTTTGTTTTGGAGAATTATTTAAATTTTTTGCTTATTTAAAAATAGGGTTGATTGGGACCAGGAGGTGGCATAATGGCTATGTCACTGGACTCCATGTAGTCGACTGCGGTTCGTGTCCCGGACCTGGTGACTTAAACTCATGCCAGGCGCGTGTGCGTGCGTGCCCAAGATCCCAAGAGGAGAATGGAGGAGAAGGGATTGTGGCGTGGCCATCCCCCCTGGGGGGTGATTTCTCACTTTCTGTCTGTCTCTGTCTTTCTGGTGAGCGCATGCACCCTATAGCAAAAACCTCTCCAAAAAATAAATAAATTAAAAAAATTATATGGTTGGTTGTCTTTGCATTGTTCTGTTGAAATAGTTAATTATACATTTTGGACCCTGGATTTTTATCAAATACATGATTTGAAAATATTTTCTCCTTTTTCGCCAGACAGAGAGAGACATAGAGACAGAAAGCCAGAAATCACCCCCCAGGAAGGATGGTCACGCCGCAATCCCTTCTCCATTCTCCTCTCGGGATCTTGGGCACGCACGCACACGCGCCCGGCGTGAGTTTCAAGCCACCAGATCTGGGATGCGAACCACGGTCGACTACGTGGGAATCCAGCGACATAGCCATTACGCTAACTGCTGGTTCCCAATAGTCTTTTTACATTCTTGAAAGTGTCTTTTGAAACCACGTTTTTTTTTTAATTGCCAGAGGGCACATGCACTTGAGAGTGAGAGCAAGTAGGTGAGATGGTGCCCTACGCAGCGGGGCATGCTCATGCAGCAGTCTCCTTCCTCCATTCTTCCATCCCATCAGGATTTTGAGCACACATGCACACACGCCTGGCATGCTTTTTAAGCTTCTGGGTATAGGATTTGAACTGTGGTCCTCCAAGTGGGATCTATCAATAGTTCCTCATGCAAAGGGCTTAACTGCTACACTAACGGGCCAGCTTTGAAGCAGAGACATTTCAATGAGATGAAGTCCATTTTGTCTTTTCTTTCTTTCTCTCTTCCTTTCTTTGGTGCTATGCTTTAGGTATCTTTTTTTTTTTTTTTTCAGTACTTTTGAGAATAATTTCTGTAATTCACTTGCTCTTGGATTAAATATTTGCTACAATAATTGGCATTTAGAACTGACAAAATTATTGTAAGCAGCAGTATTGATAATTTTTTCTTGTTTTGATTTTTAATTTTGCCTAAAAATTTTTTTACAGCTCTATAGTGTCAACCCTCCTTGCTCTTATGGATGGATTAGATAACAGGGGTGAAATTGTTGTTATTGGTGCTACAAATAGACTTGATTCTATAGATCCTGCACTCAGGAGACCTGGTCGTTTTGACAGAGAATTCCTTTTCAACTTACCTGATCAAAAGGTAAGAGTTCGTGTTTTTACAGTGGGTGATATAAATAAATAAATGAATAAATAAATTTGATTATAAAATTTATATATATTCTGGGGTTGATTTGTGTGTCTGTGTGTGGCTTTTCATTGCCCATTTTTGGTGCTTATGAGATATCTTACATTCTTTTTCTTTTAATAACTATGAGAAAATTTAAAATTTTTAGAAAATAAGACAAAAACTCTCGACTAGGTTACTGTAGATGACTTATTTGCTAATTTTCTTAGTTTTCTTATATTATCTTATATGGCAGGTTATATATATCTGGTTAGCCAGAGTGCCTTTGCTCCCATAGAAATAATGCTTTTGTAATGTCTTGGTAGGTTTATGAATAAGGATACACCACCCAAAATTTTGTAAAACTCATTGTAAAGTCATATTTAATTAAAAACAGCAAATGGTATTTAATATGGTATAAAAATTTTGAAAGACTATATTATTAAGGCAGGGCAATGTGGGACCAGCAGATGGTATAATGGTTTCATCGCTGGACTTCCCTATGGCAGATCACAGTTTGAGTGCCCAACTCAGTGGCTTCAAACTCATACTGGGCGCATGTGCATATGTGCCCATAATCCTGAGAGAAAGGTGAAGAAGAAGGGATTGAGACGAGGCCTTCACCCTGGGGTGGCGGGGGGTGATTTCTTGCTTTCTGTCTAGTGCTGTCTTCCTGTTGAGTGCATGCACCCTATAGCAGAAATCTCCTAAAAAGAAAAAAGACAGTGCATTGCAGAGTCATTATTTATGTAAAATTTTATTTAACATTAAAAAAGACAGTGCTATTTATAGTCATTATTTATGTAAAATTTTATTTAACATACGAACTTTTTTCCTAATTCTTTTGAAAATCTTGGTTTGATTAGTTTAATCTTTGGCTTTTAATTGGGAACTCAAATTTGAGAGGGAGAGATGTATGCAGGGGAAATACTGTATGTAAACATATATTGTTGAGTGACTTTTTAGCTTGAATCTTTATGTGAAATACCTGGTTTAACATAGATGTGAAAGTCTTAGTGATTAGGATTGTGTAAAAACTAATAGAGAAACAGAGAAACAGGCAGTGGCTCCTAGTATAGAACAGTTGATCACTCTATTGACATTAGTCTGCACAGCCACCAGTGGGTGGTCCATCTATTTGACAAGCTTGCAGTTGCACTAGGTGCACTTAGCTTAGTCATGACAGGAAACAGCATGGTCAGTCTCATTTTCATTGTTCAGGTGCAGCTTTTAGGAACGTACCAGTGCATAGAGATGTGTTTAGTTGTTGGGGAAGAGCCAATATGGGTGTATTCCACTTCTGTATAGGGAGCATCAGTTTTCTTATCTGGGATGTCTAGCAGCAGTCCCAGTCTAGCTTTTAGGCATTACCGGCGCACAGTGAATGCAGCAGTGTTCATTTCAGCACAGGAAAGCCATCTCCTTCTCTTGCCAGTTGTCTCTGTATTGCCCCGCGGAGTAGGCTTCAGGGTCTGTGCCACTCCTAGCCCTCTCAGTCCGGGCACAGACCACAGTAAACAAGCTCTAGTGTGGCACTGCCTGGTAGAGTGCTTTGTGACAGTGAAAGTGTCTTACATCTACATTATCCATTGAGTACTGCCCAGTGTGGTAGCCACTGGGCACTTAAAATATGGCTAGTATGACTAAGGTACTGCATTTCTGCATTTGATTTAATCTTAGTTAATTTAAACTTAACATAGCATGTGGCTAGAGTCTTAACCATATTGTATAGTATGGATCTAATAGGTTTTTGTATTAATTGTTATGAGTGATCAGTTTCTCAGGCCTGGGTCTGTGAAAAAGAATTATGCTACTTACCTTTTCTCCTAAGATAGTATTTTAAGGTTTTAAGACTAGATGAGATTATCCATTCTCCTGCTTTACAGAGCAGTCTGTAAGGTAAGAGGAAAACTAGAAGCTGTGCATCACTGAGGTGGGTGTGATTAACTGTGTTGCACCAGGCAAGGACAAATTTGCTGCTATCTTTAGCAGTCTTAGGTCATGATGAACCTCATGAGAACAGTTTCAGTTCCCTTAGTTCTCTTAGTGGGTACAAAAGTTTGACTGGAGTGGAGTTAATTCAAGAGACAATCGAAGGAGGGCATTGGAAACAGCGCAAATAGGCAAGTTTTAAAAATAGTTTTCCTGCGGGAGAAGCAAAGAATTGAGGTGTAAGATGTTGGAGGAAGTCAAGACAAAAGAATGTGTAGTGTTATTTTATTTTTTGAGAGGTTTTTGTTCGTTTCCTTCTCCTCCATTCTCCTCTTGGGATTTTGGGCATGCACTCATGCACATACATGTGCCTGGCATGATTTTCCAGCCACCAGGTCCAGGATTCAAACTACAGTTCAACCATGTGGGAGTCCAGCGCCTTAACTACTATGCCACCTGGTGGCTCAGTGTGTTGCTATTTTTTAAATGGGAGAAATACCCAATGGAGAAGGAAATTTTCTGATGAAATTGAAAGGTATACTTAATAGCCAACTGGGGATAGAACTTAGTGTACAAGGGTGACTTTAGATATGAACTGGTTAGTCCTCTCTGATAATAGGGGAAAAGACAGAATGTTGTGGGTGCATATTCTGATAGGTGGATAGATTGGTGAAGGAAGCTGGTGGAAGTGTTTTCCTGATTGCCTCAATTTTCTCAGTGAATTAAGATGTTTTTGGCTGGGACCAGCAGATGGCATAATGGTTCTACATCGCTGGATTCCCATGTAGTCGACTGCGGTTCGAGTTCCAGACCCGGTGGCTTAAACTCACGCCGAGCGCATGTGTGTGCGTGCCCAAGACCCCAAGAGGAGAATGGAGAAGAGATTGTGGCGTGGCCATCCCCATGGGGAATGATTTCTCGCTTTTTGGCGAGCTCACATGCCCTATAGCAAAAAAAACCCCCAAAAACGCAAAACCCTCTCCAAAAAAAAAAAAAAAAAAAAAAAA